AACGTCCCGAGGGTGCTACTGTCGGGTGAAACATCAGCTTGGCGGTGTGCAACCAAAGCGGCAACATCCGGCATGAACGAGGCATTCGGCAGTGATCCGAAGTAGCCGCTGGTGGGAAAGAGTATCGACTTCGGCGGTGTCCCGGAGCAGAACATCCCAGACCAGCCTCAAGGAACACCCAAGGAACATCACGGGAAACGACTTCGGCGGTGTCTCGGAGCAGAGCATCCTAGACCATCAACAAGGAACCACACGCACCAACAACCAAGCGCTGCTGAAAACAAGACAGCACCAAGACCTTCAGCCACACAAGGACGGACTGAAAGTGAGACAATTTCTGACCTGTAGATTTGTGTATAGCTAGAACGTTTCTTATTTTTTTTGTTAATTTTTTTTAATATATATATACCTTGATCAAACCTCACGGTGTAACTGAATTCCTCATTCGGCGGTTTGACCTGAACCTATAACATCACAGACGCCGTACCCCTCGCTAGTGTGGTTCAGGCCTAGCGAAGGGTGGCGACTTTTTGCACCGTGAGAGCCAAACTTCCCTCCAAAATTGATTACGTGAAGTTTTCACGCTTACAGTCGAAGTTCGCCGGGGCTTCGAGGCCCTTGTCGTAAACTTAGGGTCCATTTTGCGATATTTCAAAATAAGAAATATAGGGAGCCCAGTAAGCGGCGTCCACTTACTCGGACTTCGTCATGGAGAAGAAAAACAACCCCATTTTGTGACGTGCCGGGATCGTAAGAAACGCAGCTCTCACCACTAAATACGGCTCATGCAGCAATAAGTGCTGCTGCAATTGTTTCTAGATGGCTCCTCCAGCATTCTGATACAGCAAGTGTTTCGCCAACGCTTCCAGTGGCGGAGCGTGGACACCGCCATGTTGAACACAGGGCAGCGGTATCCCGGTAAGGCGAACATAGTAGCGCGTCTCAGGCGAATGACGCCGATACGAATGGCGCATGCGCAGTCGGGTTCAGGGTAACAGTAGTACGGTAGCAGTTTGCTAAAAGTCTCTAATAGGAACTTTTAGCGAACCGTTACCGTATTCCGCGTACCGCGCTACCGGAGCCTTTGAAGCATGATTTTAAGCGCGCGCCCGGGTTCTTCCGCATTATCGGATCAAAGGATCCAATAGTGCGGTACGCGGAACGCGATAACGGTTTGCTAAAAGTCCTGAATGATAAAGTTACTGTATTCGTTAAAATCTTTGGTGAATGCAGGAGCTGGTGGACCTGCATTTTCGGCAGTCCCAGCGCCACACGCGAGACACAAGAACTAGAGGGGACACAGGGCGAGCGCTAGAAGCTGATATATAAAAATCTGCCAAGTAATTGACTGGCGTCAGCAGTCATCTTGAGCCCCCTTCTGTTCTTCTGTCTCGAATGCCTCACAGTTTCTGCTATACTGTTCACTAAAAACAAAATTCACAACGCGTATTAAAAAAGAAATGGGGGAGCATGATGCAGCGGTCATGCTACACCGATCCGAGTGGAAGCAGCTTGCTCCCGCTGCGAGTGGCGAGCTTCCGCGCGTGGCTCGTGCCGAGCAAACGAAAATGGCTGTGATGGTATTTCCAGCGCATCACCGGCGCAGCGTCGAAGCTTGGGTTGTGCTGTGCAAGGGTCAAACATATCGGAGTAGGACTCACACTCTCGCAGCGCCCTATTTTCTAACCCGCAGGTTTTTCAGTTTAAAAAGGCCTCCCACAGGCACAGCTAGGCTCAGGATCTGTCGACGACCACGTCATTCGCTGTCCACGTTTCATTCGAACCCGCTAGTATATAAGAACTGAACGGCCTTGTGTTAATCTACAGTAGAGTCACAGCGAAAGCTGCGACACGTCACGGCGAAGTCCGGTAGTTCGATTTAAAATGGAACAATTTTTTATAAAAAGAAAGTATGGTGGTTACATGAATGCCGTCTCTATCTGTGTGTTCTGAGGCTCAGAGGACGTTAGGAGAAGAAATAAATCGTCGCGCTAATTCACTAATTAACTAAAATTCTATAATAGCTCGAGCCTCTAAAAAAATCAGCATCAATATTGCATTTTAAGATAATTCGTCAAATTAATATTAAAAGTTAATTCATAAATTTTAAATAATTAATCTTACGTGGCTTTTATGAAGGCGCTGCATTAGGAGATATGGACTATTCACTGTGAGAATGTAAAGAAATGTTAAGTAGGAGTAATATTTGGACAATCTCTACGTGTTTATGAGACAAAAGTCGCAGTCACCCGCCAAGTCGACTGAAAAAATAAGTCTGCCATGTAGAGCGATCGGGTGAACGTGGTTTGCGTAAGGAAGGACGCGTGATTTGTTTGTCCGTTGTGTTGCTGTTATTTGTGTGCTCTGTTTCTATGTGTAAGTAAGTTCATTGTACCGTGCAGTACCGGTTCTCTCTGAATTTAGCGCTTGAGTGGCACGGTAAATACCAGCGACACGGGTCGCTGGTATTTACCGTGCCAGCGACTATGTTTGCCAGCGATTATGTTTGGAAACCATGCCAGCGATTATGTTTGTAAAAAACATTTTTTTACAAACATCTAGAACAGAAAGTTGCGTTAAAAAAACTTATTCTAAAAAGAATGAACAGTTTTTTTTCACAAACTTCTATAAGAGACCCGCTTTTTTTACAGAAACGGTTATTTCTAAGAACATGGTTGCTTTTTACGAGGCTTGAAAACACAAATTCAATCATTTTACAAAAAAAAACAACCGAAACGCTTTTTTTTTTATTATAATCACATTACGGAAACGGAGAAACAGACGAAAACACATAACTTGTAGAAAGAGAGCTGCCAAGATTTTTCTGTTTTTTACACAGTTACTTTTTACAGTGTGTTAAATTCATAGGTCTTATGAATGACCAGCGGAATGTTATTTACCTTTTGGTGAACTTGATAGTGTCAATATGAGGATAGTTTAGGGTATATTAGAAGGCTGTTTAGAGGTGCCATTTTGTCATTAACTCTACAACGCGTTACGCATCTGCGAGGCTTCACATGAAAGGTGATATGCAGGGTTCCGTGTTTTCAGGTAAATCCAAACAAAACTCCGAAAGACACCCGCCGGTAAAAGTGTGCCCAATTCGGATTTATCCAATCAACTTTGAATTTTTATGTGCCAATGAAATATATTGTTTCAAATAAATGTATACCGTGCGCCCGTCTTTCACATCTACCTCCGTGAGTCACCCAGGAAAAAGTCAACTGGTTACATCAGGAAATAATCGATTCCAGACTTAACCTTTTACATTTTACTATCTGTTGCTAGAATCCGGGTCTAGAATTTTTTTAAACAATATACGCACCTCCCTCCCTCGGAAAAAGAAAAATATGGTATTTTAGAATTTAGTTTGATCAGCGCCCACAACCACCAGTTATCTTTAAAATCTTGGACCATTGTCAATAGGGGTCTTGCCGCTTATCTTGCCAAGGTTCATTCAGGATCACGGGTCATCGTACTTTTGCATCACGACAAAAGTTGGAGTTTTTATTTCCAGTTTGGGCCATACCATTTGCGCTTTAGAGAAACGATAGGTTATCTTTTGTAACAGTGAAACCAATGGACTATAGAGATTGCAAAAAAAAGCGGGAGAGGGGCAGCTGAAACTTGTCTATTGCATTCTTATCACTCCTCCTCACGCGGAAGCGAGATAGGTTGACGGAATAGGGTGGGAGGACGACGAGTTTCCCAGCAACTACCTTCAGGAGTTTTTTTTCTTCTGTTTTTACTTGAAGGTACTGAATTTTATCGAAGCAGCAGTTGTGTGCAACATTTGTCGTGTGACAAATTAGTATTGCCAATGGCAATGGCACAAACGGCCAATCCAGCTAAAAAAATAGAACACAAGCGCGTTTTATATTTTATCTGAAATGCGTGCACACCGCGTTATTATATTTGTTTATTTATTTTTAATAAAAAACACTACGAAATTGGGCTCCGAATTTTGAAGAATGGGGAATCAAACAAAAATAAACTAAAAATTTTCGGCAAAAATATAAACTTCGAATAACACCCCCCGAATTCGACGAAAAAACAAACTCCGAGAACACAGAATCTTAGTCATATGGTTAAAATATAGTCACTCCGCTGAACCACAGCGTGTGTTCCAATTGTATAAAGTACCTTCAACATGTTTTATTTACTTTATTTTTTCGCAACTACCCACATAGGAGGCAAAATTGGAAAACCAAATTGAACCGTTCAGCTTTTACATTAGATTTTCTAACACAGAAACGCAATGTTAATTTGGTCAAGAGAGTGGACATGACACACCTGAAAGGGGATATTTCTCGGGTGTTAAAAGTACGCTTGGGAATGCTGTAACTAGTCCTAGATAGTAAAATATGAGAGTTAAAACTAGAATCGATTATTTCTCGATGTAACCAGTTGCCTTTTTCCTGACAGACTCACGAAGGGAGATGTGAGAACGGGCGTACAGCAGGCACTTCTTTTAAACAATATAAAGAAATATTGTGTACTTCCGATTGACATGATTATTGTGTTCTGTGCTTCAGAAGACGGAGGTTTATTTTAGCTTTTACTACAGTAATACTAGCAGCCTCATAATTATTAAGAATGAAGATATCCTTGTATTCTACAAATTCCTATATTTTCCTATAACCCAAGGCAGTTCTACAAAAACATTCCGTATTTGACCTGAGGAAAGATGGGCGTATATACAACGGGTGTACGTCTTTGTGAACCGTTGACTTTTTCAACATACAAGTACGGTACATTATGGTGGTATGAAAGGGACTTAATTTAGGGGAGTGTTTTGTATTACATCTTTTTATATTTTTTTAAATACACCATTGGTTCTGTAAAAACCTGTGCATGTGCTTACCAGGTACTTCATGTCGAATTTTTAACAGCTTTCTTATAAAGAGCACTTAAGAAAAGTTCGACAAATGCCAGAATTCCAGCGGCTTCAGATGTGGCAATAAATTCAATGGAGCATCAAGAAAAATTTAAGCAGGAAGTAAGTTTAAATTGGTTTTATTTCAGAACCCTAATATTTATTTGAAGATTCATGCCTTCTGCATGTGGAACAAAGGCCGTTGACTGTGGTGGCACAGTGCTTATCTTCTACGTTGACAAACGCCCTTGCGGCATACCTGTGTGGGAATCAACGAATTGAAATAAAAGCAGGCACGTTGTAGACTTTATTAGGAGGGTATATGAACAGTAAACACCCATCTATCCTCTAAACCAACATTTCCATTCAGGCAACCTCTTCACAGCTGGCAACATTTTTTATATACTTTTGTATGATTTGCATAACATAATGGATTATCCCATGCTAATTGCTTACCAAACTCTCACTAGCTTAATGAAAACTGGAAATATAAACTTATTTTTAAATTTGAGCAGAATAAAAGAGAAATAATGGTTGGAGCGTAGGTTCATTCCAGAGTAGCAGAATCCGGAAGTTCGGTTAAAAGCGCACTGTACACGCAACTTCTTAACAAATATTGTCCCAAAATTATTCAGACAATAAATAAGTTCCTTGTTTTGAGTTTTCCCTAACTGCGTGCTATTTATAAAAGCTCGTTATATAAAGTGAAACTACTTAAGGCGAATTAACATTTTTACCCATGACGTAGGGAAGAGAACGAGAATTGCAATGCGCCAGCGGAAACACATATTTCCAGCGCTGCTTTGACAACGCGCATGGCGCTGTCCATCTTACTATTGCAAGGATTGGGTCCCCGCACATACATGATAGATATTATTTCTATATTTAAATATCACACATAACATCACTACGGATGAAATTACAGTGAATTATTCATATACCTTAGCACCGCGACCGCTTTGATCACACGGAGCTCCTTCTTCCATAAAATGTTCGAACTGAACAGACCGGTTCCTAAAATCTTTGGGAGATGCGCATCGAAACCTGCAGTTCTGTAGTCTTTCAACCTGTAAGGTGATACATATAACACGTAAGTCACATCGAAATCCTAGGGTTACTAAACAGAAATATTCTTAATTAATTAAGAAAAATGCAATCATTGGTGCAAATTGGATGCAATGTTCATACTTACGCTGGAAATATATGCCACATTCTCGTAATCGTCGTGCATAATCTTGCAGATATGTTTCATGTCGTACTTATCAGGAAGTACTCCGCGTGTAATATTCGTCTTCGGCGATTTGTAGTTCAACTTGGTGAGGCAATCTTGATTCCTTTAATATTTTGTTAGGAACACAAAACAAGGAGCTGATGAAATAGTGGTTCTATTAAAATTAATTTCCCTGGCTGCGTGTACTCAATAGCAGTGCTAATATCCTAAGCATTTCGAGACTTGAAATATATTTATAATAACAGCTTCCAGTAAAAAATAAGCTACAATAGTGTGCATTTATATTGCAGAGCGGCAAATGTTCTTCATAACGCAAACTTAGAGAGGAGCACAAATTTCATCTCACACCACCCACGAAAAACCCGTGTTCGAAAGTCATTAGCATAAAACATCTGAGAATACAGCACAAATTATTCCATATTCTGTCGGAACACAAAAGTTATAGTAAACGTTCCGCTTTCAGCGCGTGCATTTTGTCTTCGATATTCATTAGCCTCTCAAGAACAAGCGTAGCAAAAGCATGACTTGGAGGCAACAAGCCTTTTCTGGTGGCATTGCTTCTCCAGTTGATTTTATGTCACAACCGTTGCAACAGATCGCGGTTGGTTTTCTCGAGGCAGAACGAGGGCTTCATTCGACATGTGGGTTCCTCACAAAAATGAGCGAGCCAATGATTACATATACTTCACAGGGCCTTCACAGTCAGCGATGCTTATGTAGTGGACATGAGTTCCATGCCATAAATAATAAGCTAATAGAATTTTAGGCGGGCTGAATTTTGTTCTCTCCAATCGTTATGCCAGAATGTGACCCTTTGTGTGAGTGTCCCACAGCCGAGGTCAAGGGAGATAAGAGAAGGTTTACCCAAGTGTCATTGTCCTCTTGTCATGTGTTGTTTCTTTTTTTTGTAGAGACGGCGTTGGAGATGGGGTATATATAGCGTGTTCGAAATAAACTTTGCAGCTGAGTTTGAGACGTTGCCTCCTCTTTTACAGTCTCAGGTTTACAATCGTGTTCAACTTACACCAGCTCGCCTGCACTCTTACTATTTTATCGTTATATAAAGTTACAGGAGGTGCTTTCTAAGTAGTGTGCTTTGGACCAAAATTTTCACTTGTCTCATTTTTTAGGGCCCTGGAAGCCAGAAAAGGGCAAGGTGTGACTAATGGCGAATTCCCCCCGTTGTTTTGGAGCGCGCAGGGATCGACTTTTCTGGAGTCATCCTATTTCACTGGGCGATCAGGATCGAGACGGACGAGTTCCACAGGTCGTTTTGGATTAGCTCTCGCTCCAGATCTCGATCTGGATCCGAAAAAAGTCGCTCCGACGATTTCGGCGGATTAAACCGGAAACCAGCCGGGCCAGCCCTCGGCGCACACACGTGACTTTTTTTCTCGCGGGGCATTTCGCCTGATCTCGCCTCAGAAGAATTCGTAATGGCCGCTCGTGAGGTGCCGCTTGTCTTACTACTGCTGCTACTTGACGACAGTTCGTCGTCAAGTTGCTCGAGCAGCTTCCGGCATTCCGGCAATCTTTGCTAGAAGCTCCTGAGCTATTCCTGCCGCTCGTGCGTCGAACACGTGTTAGCGCCGCGATTGCGAAAACGTCTTCGAAACGACCGCGGCGACCGCGGAAAGGGGATTCCCGGGCAGGTGAATTGCGGGAAGGCATCCGCCGATCCCGGAGCAGTTTAGAAAGTTAATTAAGAGATACTAGTTAATTAGCTACTTTGCCGCGACGATTATCCTCCTGGCACAGCACTCGTCTAGCTCTCATCTTCTTTTTTTTTTTATTATGTTCGAATTAAAATCAAACACGCTCAATATATTGTTAGGGAGAACTCAATGAAACGGAGGCTCAAGGGCGAAGCAGCGCGCGCTCTCAGCCTGTGCTTCGTCACTCGAGCACCAGCGATTTCAGTTATCAACCCTCATTAAATCGTCGCTTTCAATACCCTTGCACAATACTGACTCCTTTCCAGTTTTCTTATGTGATTCTGTATACTACAGGGAGTGATGTCTTTATAGTGGAGAAAGTATACTATATTGGGACATGTTCTTGGAAGAGTTAATTTCTTTCCCCAGATGTAGATTGGCATCGGAATTAAAGACGGCTAAATATAGTTTGCCTCTTCAGAGGAACTAGATCGAGTGGCCTACCTGCAATCACAATAACACAAAAATATAGTTCAAATTGTAAATCTGTCTCACATACCTCACGAATGTTTCAAATTGTCTTGAGCTGCACGAAGAATAATAATAATGATTGTACTGAACATTTGGATCAGCGGCATCCGGAGTGCCCATAATGTAGCCGCTTTTTGGAGAACAACTTTTTGCCCCAGTGTTGCCAGGAATCCAAGCATAAGGATCCTTTCCATCGTCCACAATACCAAGTCTGCAATATACCGCATATCACTGCATAAACTCTACAGCATTCTCACTGCATGAAATGAAATGGGCTTTATTTCGTACTAAGAAAACTTTTTACGTACAGGTGGGAAACTTCTCGGACAAATGCGTACACCCCGTAGTACGTGTAAGGTTCGTCTTCGAAAAAGCCAGCTTTATAGATTGTGCAAGCTCCCCCAATCATTGAGAAACCTTAATAGAAAGATTGAGTTTATTGTAGCGAGAGGCGTGTCATATTTCCGATCACACGTAATCAAATAGTGGTGTAACAGATTATCATTAATTGCAATGATTTAGTTATTTATGTAACCAATGCTGAAGAGCGCAATCCAAGTAAAGCATCGGCTTCCGCCCTATATATCGTTGCCGAACATGTTTTTAAGTAATTGAGTTCGTTTTATTATCGAGTTTGGTGTGAAACGCTTTTTTAAAATAAAATATAGAGGGTTTTACTGTGCAAAACATATGTATGGCATCTTAAGATATATAAATATGTAAAAGGCACTTCGATATTAGAAAGGTACTCACCCGTGACACTTTCATCATAACTCTTGTCATCTCCTTCAGCAATGTCAAGTCTGAAATATTTTGATAGGTGCATGGATTTTTGTAAAAGTTATGTAACCCAAATAATCAAAAGGTTGGGTGTATTCTTACCTGGTCATCAACATGAAAAGGTCAGATTCCTTGTATTCTCTTGACTTGCCATATGAATTGCGAAATTGTTCCAGGGTTTCGTCGGCCAAGAGTTTATCTTTCCTCCCCTTCATTCTCATCAAAAACGTATCCTTTTTCTGTCGTAAACGTTCGTATATATCATACGTCACCGTTTTATTATTTTGAACATATATCTATGTAGATTAAGGTAACAGTTCGGATTTAAAATTTACCTTTCTGATATCCAGTCCGACGATCTTTACAGTGACTGAGTTGGAACCGATTGAGTTAAGATACATGTTAGCCTGAAAGAGAGTACTCAGATATTCAAGAAGTTTCATTTAGCAGTTAGGAATCAACCAATCAATGCGCACAAAATACGTGCGCAACAATGAGAACACCGTAACAAGGAAAACTCCAGCTAGATGTATTAGGTTTCTGGACAGACTCAAGTATACACAATTTCTGCGAATATGTTTTCAAATCGCCTGGTTTGCGGAGAGCACATTATTACTTCGGTTGTTAGTTGCACGTTTAATAGTAAAATAAAGCACTTTAAAGTATTAAGTCCGTAACCTGAACTTCATTATGCGACAGGATAATTACAAGTCTGATGAGCAAAGATGTATAATATCAATGTCAATTAAAGAACGAGCCCTTATGGTCGAAGTCAGTATAACAAAAATAAGTTGGATCATTAAATATTTAAAAAACAGCGCTCGGCCCAAAAAAAAAATGTAATTTATAGAATATTCGTGGTAGGAACACTGTGGCTATCATCAATCTTCATGTGTGATCCGTATTTGTTTTGCTTTAATTAACGAAGAGGACTCTTGTATTTCATTTCAATAAAAAAAAAAGAATATTGCGTAATATAAAGGCGCCTTTTTTGTGCTTTTCTTCAATACTGTTTATTTTGTATCTAAAACTATTCAATTCCCGTTTTACTCACCGAGTTTATAAATCTTGATATGTAGTCCAAAATGCTTTCTTTCTTGTATTTAAATACCTTGGAAAAGTACTTATCCAACACTAAATATACCTCTGCTACATACGTTCCATCACTCCGTTCCACTGGAAATGACAAATATAAATTTAGGCATGGACAAAACTGAGATAAAAATTGAATGCAGATCGGTTGTATTAAAGTAATTACCTGGATAAGATGTGTTACGATCTACATCAACGTCGAAAATGTCTCTATGGTATCTATTTGCGGTCTCGGACTCTGTAAGAAAAGTAAATAAACTTATCAGTTTCTTTTAAGGATCCTGGCATTGTACTGGGGATAAAAGACCGTGCAAGTGTTTTACTTTTAATATATTTATATTACATGTTGTTTTCTTCGGAGCGCATACATTTGGTGCATGATTGCATAGACTGCTTATCAATGCCGTAACTTTGAATTAGCTAGGATGTTATGCTTTCGTATAGTTTGCTTAGTGCTGGGTCTTGTGGAACATAACATTAATAACGAGAACTATCACGCAAAGCGATAGGCGTAGACGACGGGGGGGGGGGGGGGGGGGCATCGGGGCTCGTGCCTCCCCTGGTGACAATGGGGGGGGGGGGGGGGGGGGGGGGGGGGGGGAGGGCAGAGCCTCCCTCACCCGGGCCATGAACCTTACCGAGACGCTGTTTCGGTAAGGATCATGGCCCGGGTGGGGGAGGCTGTAACGAGCATGTAACGAGCTGGTAGTACTGGAATGTAAACAAGATAACGCACACAGCGATGGACACCTGGCAATATACTTATGCTGTAAAATGTACCCCTAAAATAAAGTACTGATAGTTGCCGGCGTAAAAATAAATTCCGCAGTAAAGCGCCCCCCCCCCCCCCCCCCCCCCCCCCCCCCCCCCCGGGAGAATTTTTCAGCCTGCCCCCTCCGGGAAAATGGAAAGTCTACGCCGCCGCACAGCATCGATCTAAAAATATTTGATTAATGTTACATAAGGATCAAAAGAAAATTAGTTCTACGAATGCATAATAACTGGTAGCGTCTTTCTAATAAGCAGAGCCCTGTGCAGATTATAGCTTGATCATCCGCATTCGATAGGCATCGGCATTTTTCTTACTGCATCCGAAAGATTCGGAAGCGCATCCCACCTGCAATCTCATCATTCAGGTTATTTCATAAAATCAAGAGTGAATGAAAAAAAATAACTTCTGAATGGTATTTTATAAGCCGTAATTATGGCGCTTAAGACGAGGACAAAAGGGAGACTAGACAACAACACGCCATCATGACGTCAAATTCTCAGTACTAACTAGCCCAACAATCTGCATTGATTCGTTTTATGAGCCGTTTGCTTATCTTTGCAGACATACCTCTTTGAGTCAGTACAAGGTGAAAGTAATTTGATCGTATTCTATCTCATCGGGTTCATATTCTAAGCGATCTAGAGTAAATAAATGGCGGAGTCAGAATATCGCCTTCCTTTTCATTCGACTGCCAACTACTCATGGGCGGACAAAGGGTCATATGAGCTCTGCGACATAATTTTCGTTCTGCGTTCGCAAAATATATCTTACACCTAAGTGTCACAAGCAGGAGAAGTGCTGAACATTTTAACATTGTGTGTGTTCCACTTAGATATGTGTAATTTCGTTCTTTTTTTGTAAAGCAAGCGCTGCTTTAAAGCAGCCGTGTTTAAGCAGACAACAGAACGGCCGACAACGTAGCACGCGCGCGCTTTCAAAGGATTTGGGGGACGCACGACGGCGCATTCACGCGAACTAGGCCTCATGTCGTGCCCCTCGTTAAAGTTCACTTTACCGTCGTGTCCCTTGCAAGAACGACGTTCGCTCCTCCCGCAATACTTAAAGTAAAACGTTTGGGGCCGTCGCGATACCTTGCTCCGCAGTCGGAGCATGTACAGTAAAGGTCCGTTCACACTCTCGCAACCGAGTAGGACCGAAAGAGGCCAGACCGGTTTTTAAGCCTCTTGCGACGTCTTAGAACCAGATGCGCTGCTGCGGAGCTGGTCCTAAGACGTCGTAAGAGGCTTAGAAACCGGTCTGGTCTCTCTCGGTCGTACTCGGTTGCAAGAGTGTGAACGGGCCTTTACTCTAAAGCGGTCAGCCTTTCAGAGACTCTTAGCGGCGCTGTAGAAATGATCCCAGTTGTGATATCGTCCTCAGAGTTTGCAACGCACTGACGGAAAAAGAAACGCGAAAAATAAAGATCTTTTTTTGGCCGTAAGTTGACGCATATTTTCTCAAATGAAAATAAAGCCCAATAACATTTCGTACTTTTATTTAAGTCCAACATCAAAAAGAGGGAAAGGAAAGACGGTGAATCACCGCAGCGAAGTGCTCGTATATACGTGGTAATACGCGGGAAAATACCACTGGGAAAAAAGCATAGTATTTAATAATGGCAACACCTTCTATCTGGTTTGTTTTCAAAATGAACCTACATCCGCGTGCCACAAACACCATGCTTAGCAGCAACTTGACAACTGTCGAGACAAAAAAAAAAAGAAAAAGAAAACGCGCGCACGCGCAATGTTTTATATGTCAAAGAGGCTTCTACTTTCTTGTGGCTTGTATGTTTTCTGTTTTCACTTGCCGAAGAACGCTCTCCGCTCTCTCCCTGTCAAACAGGAACACGCTTTCACTTTTTGGTTTTTAGGGACATCATTTTTGCCGAGATGGAACGCTTTAAAGCAATTTTTGTTAAGGTTCGTGTCTTCCTCGGCGTAAAAAACAAATTTCTCCCCGATGGTCGCCTTTTTCTAAGAGTTTAATTTGCCTTCGATTATGGACTGCATATTATAACTCATTTATTCACCGGATTTATTTTTGCCGCCTCGGCAAAAACGCAGCCCCGGACTGCGGATATCCGCTTCTGATAAGAATTCGCTGCCCCTGCCGGCATCCGATCCACCATTCGCCAAATCTGATTCCGTTCACACCGCATTCAACAGTTTACTGCGGACATCCCCAAATAATCCTCGGGTATTCCGCGGATATGCAGAGATCCGAAATCAGCATTCACCAAGCACTTCTGACTACAAAAGTGTCTGTGTACAAGGCATCTTACTACAGGGACCAGCAGGAAGATCCTCGTAGGCGTCTAGCTCCAATGCGAACTCAGGATAACTTCTGCTGAGAAACGATGCATAAAGGTACACTAACCCCAAACCTCCATAGCTTGGGCAGATTAATTAATTGATTTTTTGACTTGCCACCCAAAATAATTGTTAAATATAAAACCTAAAAAATATATTTTAGAGTTTATGTTCAAGAATGTTAATTTAGAGATATTCTCTATGTGATACATACATCTCTATAGTAGAAACCACTTGATTGTCCTAAATTATTACCGAAATGTAAGCCACTAAGGAGTATACTTGCCTTTTCCATCAGGCATACGAGAGACGCCTGGCTGTACTTTGTAAAGCATATGAGCAACCTGACCATCCAATGAACGTTCGACTCCAATCGCTGGTTTAATGCGTAAATGTCTTCCAATTAGCCCTTCCTGTAACAACATACTAGGCATAGTACTCGGCCATTTGGGCTGATGGAAACAAGAGACCTGTATCAAAAACTTAACTACTTACCACCTGAATGCCGTTGTCTGTATTTACAGTTAACGAAGCCTTGTGGTGACGATCGTGGTATAAGTTTCTTTCATATTCTTCCCCTTGAAACTGGAGATCAGAATTCAATGAAGATCTCGTTAGACTAGCTGTTACTATTTATATTATTAAACTGAATTAAAAGGTAACATATGATTGTGCATTACGTAATATTTAACGGGGGAACCCTCCTCCAGTGTGTCAACTGTGAATTCTTCAGCGAAGACAGAGCTTGGTGCCAGCTGCAAAGTGATGTGATCGTTCACAACTAGAGTTCTTTGTCCGTTAGCAGCTCTGTTTTCCAACAACCGGGGAAAAACGATAGTATGCTCGGATGCCACTGCCAGAAATAGAGAAAAGTATGATTAGCCGAGCGGCTTTCAACTGCGATCGATCTGTATTTGCATATATTTTACAAATACGTTTTGTTCATTTAAAAAGTTGAATAGGATGCTGACACATTATTCAACGTCACTAAATAAGAAATTTATTTAATCTTTATTTCAAAATAACATAAAGAGAGGCAACTATAAGGAGTGATTAGGGTTGTTATGTTATGCCGAAAGATGCTAGATGGCAGTATTCTTCGAATAAACAAATAAATATAAGTTACAAAACAATCACCGGAAATTAAACAAACCGTAATATACTCAGAACCCAAATAACATTTGAAAGCTCACACTAATAAGTATCGAAAAAAGAAATGGCCCTTCGTGCACAAAGGGTGCTTTCTTCACCATGCAATAATGTAAAACTCTTAAAGGCCAACTTTCTGGAGGTTGAAAACACAACCCAAATTGGATGGAATAAGCAAAATGTATGATGTGATTTTATAGTAGTCAAACTAATGAACGGAAAAAGATTGAATCCTGGGTGCATAATAAATTTATCATAGACCATAAAATTTCCAGTTCACAGCCTAGCAGAAAGAGGTGAATTCTACACACAATCTATTCAAGTCAAAACTGTAATTTCGTAAGGTTTTTATAACGTGAGGTTAAGTTCAATACATATTTTAAAATATGAAGTAACATACGAGATGCAGCGAGCCGCAGGAGGACAAAAAGCAGTTGCCATGCCCACATCAAAGTCCGCCTCATTTTCTCCATGGAAACCGTTTTTTGGCTCGAAGGTGCTTGTTTGAGGAATATGAGGCAACTTAAGATGTTCCGTTTCTTGACTTGCGTCACACGTTCAGGGTTCGCGACACTCACGAAGAAAAAAGTAGATGTTGCTCATGACGGCATGCGCTGCTTTGTTCTAACAGGTGTTTTGAATGATATGGTAAGTTAACATTAAGTGCTAGACATTTCACTGACATTTGAATAAAAGGGCGCGTTTTACGTCGTTTATTCTAACATCAGAAAAGGAGAAAGCTTTCATCACTTGAAAGAATTAAAATAATCGCAAAATAGCCCAGTTACTACCGTAGACCCTGATTGTTTAGGAAACGTAAGATGTGGCTTTTTTATGGCCAAAAGCTTTTGGATTCCTGATTTGTTGTTCGATGTTCCTATTGGCTTATTCCGCAGCCTCAATGACTGTGACGCGACTATAACATGTTCGAAACTCGCCACGCTCTGCATTTCTCGAACTCTTTGGTGACTATACCAACTAAGTCACAAATAAGAATACAAAATAAATATATGGATAACTATATCAAACGAAAATATGCTTAGACCTCAGTACATTGCTAATGCACCCTCACGTCCAGTCTTACTTTTACTATATGTATTACCTATACCAACATCCTTGAAATAAACAGCGAGGGAAAATAGGCGAATATTTCTTTCCCAGAAAGTTGGAAGAGCGAGAGGTTGTCCATTTGCACGCTTGGGTAGGGCAAATAAGGCGAAACTACTTTTGTACAAACACTACAAAATTCGTTTAGGAACCTCGGAAATGCGTATTTTCCACTAAACGCTTGACCTTCTCTCTGCTATTCCAAGCATATCATTTGTGTTAATTTCGGTTGAATGGGAATTTGTGCTATTCTAGATAAATAATAAGTTGCCATCAACATTTTTTCTTTTCTTTTTTTAAGGGGTGCAGATAACAATCTGCACCCCCCTCGTTTGGGGGGTGGGGGTGCAGATTGTTATGCTGCAGCAACACACCATAAGCCAGCAAACCACGACCTTATGAACTGTTCACAGGGTTCTCGAGCAGGTCACAGTACGACGCACTGTTGACACTAAGTGGTCATGTAAGGTTCGACTATTGTTCCTTTATAGTACCAGTAGAATGAGAGCATGAGCTTGCCCCGTGTTGGAGCTGCACGAAACTTCTTTGGTATTGAAGGCGTAGTGTGCCTCCAGTCTTAGCTTGCCCGCTTGGTCTCTGCCAGGGCATAGAAGATTCAACATTCGTCACTTGTGACAATATGGGGAAGCAGTGTCGTAGCAGTGTCCCGCACAGATTCACAAGGCGCTCCTTAATGCGCGGAGTAATAATAATAATAATTGCCTTTATTTCCATCAAAGATGCGGGAGACCGAGGAAAAAAGCTGCTATAGAGCAGCTTGACGTGTCCTCGACCCCCTACAGACAGTGGTGGAGCAAAACGTTTTTGTTAGAGTACATAAGGAGCAAAATCGAGTCACTGATGCAGAAATGCAGAAACATGGAAGCCATTCTACAAGGTAATCATACTAGGTTATTGGTGACCTACAAATTTGCAGGGCAGTCACAGACGCACAAAAAAGTCTTGATAACGGAAAATACTAAGAAACGCAAAGTGCCAAAAACGAAAAAAAAATATTGCAACGTCTACTTTCTAAATAGTCCTATAACATCTAAAAAGAGCTGTAAAGAGCATAAATATAAAGAGGAACGAAAAACATAAAAATATGCGCTATAAATGCGTAGCATGTCCAAACAAAAACATAGGTATAAAAAGAATGCCGTAAAGCCAATGCCGGGCAAGTCAAAAACATAGAAAAAAAAAGTGAAACACTAAAAATCAGATATAAAAAGCTTGCACAATAAACGCGAAAAAATTACTAAATGCAATGCGTAGTAAATACAACGTAAATAACCACGCACGAATTTAACGAGAAAACAATCCCTCTTCAGACATAAATGGTCAGTCACGGAAAAAGGCGAATGGAAGGAATATTAAAACAAGGACAAGGACGAAGCAAAATTATACATAAGTTAAGCGCAGTTTTCTCGCGGAAATGTTGCGTAGGTCAGTCTCTTGTTGATTATGACTGTTAAAGGACCCATGAAACGAATTTTGGGCTGGAGCAAATCAATTTATATTGGGATCTTACTAATAGCACATCGTTCAGTGGGCCAAAAGAACAAAGGTAGAAAGTCAGAAGCCTGACTTTCGCTACGAAAATTTGCAAAACATAGCGGACTATTTCGTACCTCCTTCCCTTCGTAAACTCTCCGCCTTTTCACTGTGATACATCCGCGGACCCCGCAGCGCGTCACCGGGCTACTAGCCACCATAACCGGGCCCCCGCAGCGCGTCACCAGGGCCCAAGCGCACGTCACACGACACTGGACCTCACTTAATCCCTTTACCCCTAAGCTGACATTGCGGTGGAAGCTACGCGCTTGCCGGACCAATCAGCCGTCTCCCTTTCATCACCTGACCTCATTCTCTGCGGGTCGGTATGCGCGAGAGAGCATGATCACGTGGAAAATGTGTGGCTGGCCCAACGAGCATGTAGCTTCCACAGCGCTGTCAGCTTCGGGGTGAACGGGGTGGGGAAAGCAACTAGTCGGAATTTTGAGCGACGGGCTAATCTTCTAGGGGGACAATGGCTGTGTCCAGCTACTCAAGCCAGATTCCGAGCAAGAGGGGACTCCCCCTTTTCCGACTTCTTGAACTGCTTGGTACAATGCGCGATTTATGAGTTGAGGAGGAAAGCTAAACAGAAAAAAGTTGAAAAAGCGTTTCATGACTCCTTTAAGTAACTTTGGGAGTAGATATTTTATCATCTGGGTTCCAAAGCTGGTTCTGCATTTTTCAACCTTCCAGTCGTCTCGGCAGCGCGTTTCATAGGCTTTCGTGTTTTTAGTCAGGAACGCGAGTGAGGTCAAGTTTGAAGTGACTCTTTTTATGTCACGTATATAGCTTAGACTTAGCCTGTAATCGTATAAGTTGAAATTTTTTATTACGGAAAGCTTTTGAAAGATAGGTGAAGAATGAGACTGATAAGGGGAGTTGCAAATAGCGCGCATCATTTTCTTTTGTAGTCGGTGTATTTTTTCTAAGTTGGTCGGACCTGTCGTACCCCAAACAAGGTACCCGTAGCTGATATTTGAATAAAACAAAGAGTTGTACAGCTACAGTTTTACCTTGGTGGGAAGTATACATCTGTAATGCTGAACGACCCCAACAGCACGTGCTAGCTTTGTACAAACTGAATTTTTATGGTGCTCCCACGTCATGTGTTCAGAGAATGTTACTTCCAGAGTTTTAAACGATGTTACGAATTCAATATTAGTAGAGTTGTATAATAATGGCGCTGTGTTTGATAGGTTTTTGCTTTTTGGCCGGTAAAGTATCTTCTTTGTTTTAGAACTATTAATTACCATGGAATTTATCATTACCCACTGTTCAAGCATAGCCAAAGTATCGTTAGCAACGTTTATAATATCATCATATCTTTCACCCGTAAAAAAATATGCTTGTGTCGTCTTAGTGCCCACCGGTCGGACATTTTTGGTAATGCAGAATATTGGGACGTGTATGGTTTGTGCACCGGGTCACGGCTACAGTTTAACTCTCCAGTCACTAATTAATGCTGACACGCCGGTTTTTATGCACCAGTCGTTCACCGCCTAAAGGATGAACTACATCGGCGAATATTCCGCGTTGAAATTGACGAATTTCGCCCAACAGCGTTTGCTTTGCGCGTGGCGTCAGCACAGTGGCTCCTACGCCGCGCGCAAAAGGAGCATGCCGTCGGACGAATTTCGTCAGTTATTCCTCGCATAATTCGCTCCACGAATTCACCCCGCGGTGGAAGAAACACGTTTGGATGATGCCTCCGGCCGCTCTTCCCGCGGGGAGTGAAAAACCAGATCGTATTCGTAGCTAGCCTCGAACCAGGAGTAGTTAGTTCTGTGCCGCAGCGGAGGACGCTGAGGTATGAGGTCCCTCCTCGGCGGCCACAGTGTCGTCGGCGCAGCGTGCTCACCTTTTTCGCGGCGTGGTGGTGATGTGGGGGTGTACGGCCAATGTCTAGCCTCGTGTTCTGCTTTGGTCCTGTGTCGATCACAGGTGCCACCATCGTGCACGAAGGTGATCCTCAACCCTAAGGACAAGAAGAAGAAGGAAGAGAACACGAATTTATGGACTCTGGCGACTTGGTGACGGCATGGCGGCGCCAAGGTAAAACAAGAAGCCGCGACCGAGAGAATGCGGGACCACCGTTGGGAGAAACAACCGGAGTGGTCGGTTTGGGAGGGATCCCATACTTGGGCGCCATCTATCCCCGTGCGAGTGAAGCGCACTCTGTGCGTCGAGCATAATGTTGCCGCCGCGTCGGACAGAGAGTCATCACTGAAATCTTTTTTCCACCGTGATTCAGACTTAATCGGGAGTTTTAGGGAACCCTTTTTTCCCAACCGATACAATGCGATGGGCCTTCCGGTACGCACTGCGCATGCGCTACCACAGAAGACTTGCGATGCGCAGTTCGTACCGGAAGGCCCATCGTACCGTATCGGATGGGAAAAAAGGGTTCCCTACAACTCTCGAATATGGAATCCGGCGTTGACGACCCCGTAAGCCCGGTCGGGGCGAGTTGGGTCCGCCAAAATTAACTCTCCACTTTTAAACGTTTGCTACCACTCGTATATCTGTAAGTCACACACAGGCGCAACATACTTCTCTAAACTCCTGCGATGAACATCCGCAGCCTTTTTGGCCTCCGCAGCTAAAGGCGGTGTTACTGCGCGCTGTAGCTTTCTGGTGCAGGCTTTCAAGGGTGGGACCTTTCTTAATGTGGTGGTCGCTTGGCATTGTCCGTCAAGCCGCAAGACCGGCGCTCACAGCTCCCTCTAGTAGAGGGCCAAATATATTTGAAGCCCAACAGTCTTTGCGGGAATTAAAAAAAATATATATATTACTGCTTTGCGTTTGCTTTTTAAATCGGCCTCGAAACTAGATATGACACCACCAATCTACTATCTTTCGTAGAGCATTGTATGTACCATTGCTACCATTG